GATGCACTGCCAACTTAAGCTGAGAAGCGGAAAAAAATGGGAAAATCTGCGAACATCGTTGAAGACTGCTGATGAAAATATTCGAAGAGAAAAAAAATACAAATGCAATTTGATCGTTTGCATCGAAATATTAACTGCAACACATTGTCGTTTTGCTCATTCTTTATGTTATGCTATTTCACATGTAATTAAAATATTTTTTTTTATTAAATTTCGTATTTTATGTTCGCATTTACATTTTCATTTTGAATTAAATGTTAGAATTGGAAGTTTCCGGTGTTGAATCGTCTGTTGCCGCTGTCGCTGTAGGCTAGGGGGTAGGAACACAAGCGCTTGAGACGAATTCGTACGAATATTCGTGAATTCTTGTGATTGTGTATACGAGACATTCGCAGCGCAGTGAGTTTACAACAACAATAACAAAGCCACGAACGCATGAATATATGCGAATACATACGAATGACACAACTTGTTCCTAGCCCCTAGGCTGTAGGCCGGTGTTTCAATTTGCCAGTGCAAACAATTGACAGGATGATGAATTTCGTATCAAAATTCATATATTGTTAACACGATTGAATATGGTGGTCCATTGAGAGCGGGCGCGATACCACGAATGTGTTCCATTCACTCGTTGTACTATTAATGGGTGATGTTCCACCACACATACACAGCCAGAGATGGTTCATCGTTTAGAGTGTATGGAAATGTGTATCGGTATATACTAAAACGTACACCTTTGCGTTTAACGCGTTGAGCGCATGCGTCAGCTACTACTTTTGTGGCAGCGAACGCAAAGGTATATCAATGTATATATACCAGCCTTTCTGATCATGAAAATAGTAAACAATACAGCGGCACCTGGGGACTAAGTGCAACGTGTCATACTTTCAACGTTTGAATTACACAGACGCACTTACACAGACGCATACTTGTTACAGCGAACTATGTGCATGATTCTCTATTTCTCCAACCAGTCGCCAGGTGCCGCTTTATTGTTCTTTTTTGACGTTTCCTATCTATTTGTACAGACAATCAGAGAGACTGATATATATCGTTCTGTACGGAGTACAGTAAATACAACGAATTGATGTACATATACTCCATCTCTGTGCACAGCAATGCTGTGGCATCATGCCATCATCAATGAATGAATACACACCATCAAGTTGATTGTCATCGGCAATGGCATCAATGCGGCATTCAATTCGTCAGAGACACATTGCAAATTTGATTTCATATCGCATAATCATTCGAGTCGAAATGTACACACAAATCGATATTTCGACCAAATTCCAATACACTTTCTGTACATCACTTCGAATGCAGACAGAGTTTCGATCATCTCATGGTTATGCGTGTATCAAATGGAAATTCCAGCATTTCGAATATTTTCGAATTGTGGATTTGTGTGTATCGCGTTGACGGAGAATATTTGCAGAGATATTTGTAGAATTTAATCGAAACTCGGTTATTGTGTGCGATGTAACTCCCATCGCAACAAAATACTTGAACGAAAGCCACGAATAAGAGCGGCAGCGGGCTATAACACCCACTGACCAAATTATCACTGTGTGAGCGAGTATTATGTATTTTGATTGCAATTGAAAATGCATTTGGTTGGCAACAGACAATCAATACCATACACAATTACAGTGTACATTCCATAACATTTAATCATCTAAATTGCTGGTGCCTGGTACAACAGTTCTGCGTTCAAAGCACTCGCGCAAATGACACACAACTTTGGTACTATCCCCAGCGTGTGTTTATATGTGTGCCATAATGAAACTATAACGGGGAGAGCGTGTTTTCAGGTTTGGATAACTTTCAACATCAAACAAGCAACAGCCAGCAGTTTGGAATTAAGAATGAAATTTGAAAAATCGAAGTCACTTTAAGGTGTTTTATTTAAATTTAATCATAGATTGAAAAAATCTTTCCATGTATTAGACTTTGCGGTACAAATAAATTTTGTCGTTTTTTAACAACTCATGGAATTAAGAATGTTTGCAAAAATGTGGGAAATGAAAATCCATAAATGCTGAGCCATGACGTTTGCTTGGCTTCAGCGAACGAAATGTTAACGATTCTTGGAATGAAATTACCGCCACACCGCACTTTCGTTGGCAACACGCTAATAATGATGTGTGTATGCCTATTGGAATCGATGGGAAATCCGAGAGCAAATTGATAGCCTTGAATTCATTTGCATTCACAATACCAATCAAATGATACAATTCGCATTTTCCCACGCCAATTCATTTATCATTATTCGATATGATGTGCTTTCGGCGAATTTATTTATTTTATCGTTCTTTGTCTGGTGTCACGCTCGCACATTTCAGAGAAAAATGCGTGGATGTGACGTTGAAAAGATGTTATCATTCACTAAATGTGACATGACGAAGTTAAATTCAAACGCCTTCCTGTCGAAACCGAACGAGAGAAAATCGCAGGTGCCACGCGGTTTGCACACGCCTTCATACACGCATCGCTGAACGGTTTTTACGGAAAAGAAGACGGAACTGAATAGAAAAAAATAACAGAAGCTTTTGAGATGCGGTATACCTTGTTGGAATCAAATTCATCTAGATGTCATTTTATTAGAACGTAAATGAAATTGTGCACGAAATAACCGCGAGTGATGTATGCCTGACAGATCTTTGCAATATATGTATTCATTGCGCGTTTCAACTTGTGTATTTCACCAGAAAATGTTTTGCTTTTTCTCTCGTTTTCTTCATATCGTATAATGTTGTTATGCGAATGGGCTTGGTTTTACTAAGGGAAGCTTGACGCTTCCATAAATCTATGTATTTCCCATTTCATGCTAATGAATACGAGCTCCTTGTGAGTTGTTGTCATCAATGCGGAAATATGAATGAGTTAAAAGTGATTTGCTATCACTTGGCCTCGATTCACTAACGAAATTCTTATCGTTACGCAGATAATGATAAACTGATGAAATACACTATCCTCTTTCCTCTTCTATACGCGTTTGATGCGCTTCAGCTAACGGCTAAGATGTGGTTGCTCTCTCTCTCTCTCTCTCCCGCTCATTCTACGCTAATGTATACACATCGAATGAATGCTAAACCTTTCTCTATCCGATTCACGGTAAATAACCAAAAATGAATACGCTCTTTCACTTTGGTGTGCACAAGAAATAATCTCGTAAAGCAGAAAAGATCTCATCGAATTTTCGTAATGCGTTAGCAGGGAAAAAAGGGCACAAGTGCGGAATGCTTCATGAAGACGTTTACACATTTAATCCAATGCTTGTCTACTATGTGTCGCCTGCGAGTGTTTGTGTTGTTTACACCAGCTTCTTATCAACTTGTCGATAATAAATATTCATCGGGACCAAGAGAGAAAAGAAGAGAGCGAGCAAGGGAAAGTGTAAGCTAAATATTTCATCAGCTTGTGTGTACGTGTTGCATAGTTGAATAGCGCGCCTCTTGACTTCAACGTATCGTCGTCACCTCTACATCATAATATAAATACCAGGCCGTATAATGAAAGCTGAGCCAGCAAATACCTTAGACGTATAATGAAATCGATGCGAATCATTCGTTGAATATATGGCGAATCGGCTTCTCTATTTTCGCAATCATCTCCCCACCACCCATGTAACACCCAACTCCGAAAACGGATTATAATACAAGATAATTTCATCAATATTATTTCATGTACGTAGAAAACGTAATGATAATAGCAGCAGTAGCATCACCCAGCGTGTGACGTATTCCGTTCTGCCTCAATATTTCTCGAACAGGAGAAAAAGCACCCGCGTCAGAAAAAAAAATGTATAGCACACATATCGCTGAGCCTAATAAATGAAAATGAAACACACAGCAATATTAAAAAATCTTCTTACTCGGCGTCATATCAAGCATATAGAGCAAATGATCACACTGGACCCCAAATGGAATCGATAATAACGTTTGCCTAGCACAAACCCAGCAAACTTGGTTGATTCGCAACCAAACCCAACTGCAGCACGATGCCTTAACGCTATTCATCGAGTCTATTACATAGGAACAGCATCAAAAAACTTTGGTAGTCAAGTTGCTTTCAATGAAGGAAGGAAGAATTATTGACGAACACCACGGTGCAGATAGTAATAACACGTGCTGTTTTTCCCATTTAGTCGTTGAAAAATGTGATATTTATTGAACGGTTCAGATTTGTCCAAAGTTTTAATCATCTTTGAGCAGTTTCAATCCCAAATACGCTCAGGATTTTTGACAAGTTAATACAAAATTCCAATAATCTGTCAATAAAATTGTTCCAAAGAAATTGTCGGTTTCTGTGCTTCTGCAAAATAATTTCTCATAATGAATTTACCCATAATTTCATCATTTTCTTTGGAAAACTTTCAACAAAACCGAAATAATTCAATAAAAATGGAGATCGGCTGTATAACACGCAAACTGTGTATGTGGTTAATACGCGCAAAAAATGACTTATTGCTACTTCTTGAGTGCCACTTGAATGCCTCGGTTTTCGACGATATTGAATGGGTGTATTGGTAAATAACAGCTGCCCTTGTTTAAGTCGTTTTAAGCCTACAGGGTATCATTAAAAATAGTTCAAGCACGAGTGATTTTTTGCCATCAACGGGTTTTTGTACATCGTTCATAGAAGTTTCAGAACAAATACGTGAAATCAAGAGGAACAAAAATTATCAGTGATGTTTTTTTTGGCTTAAAATTGTTTCTTTTGCTAGTTTCAAGAACCACTTCAAATGTATGTTAATGCACAATCGTATTTCAATCGATGATTCGCAACCAGTCAAAATGGCTACAAAAATTTCCATTATTCTATTCATAAACCAATTTTCATCCGAATTCATATGGTTGAAAACATACATTTCGCACTTTGCTTTCGATACCGAGGAGAAGGGAGGTGGAATGGGGGGAAATTCAATTGAAAACACACCAAACAACAATTTCCAGCGGATTTTATTGAAAAAAAAACCTGTTTTTGTTTACTTTCAGGAACATGCTACGGTGGTTCAAGGCGATTTTTAACAGATTTTTTGCAAGAATTTCCAACACCTGGCACCGGACCATATTTTGATTCAACAATACCGTCGAATATCACAGGTTTAGTGGGCAAAAATGTACATTTAGTATGCAAAGTAAAAAATCTCGGCAATCGAACGGTAAGTGAACGCTTGTTGTGTAATACCCTATATGAATGGTTTGAAGTGAAAATGTAATACAGAATAGTTGAGCGGAAAAATTTCAAATGAAAAGGAATAGCTGTATAGTTCACTATAGTTTACTATACAGTTTACTATATAGCTATCCCTTTTCCGCTCAACTTTTCTGTATTACATTTTCGCTCCAAACCATTCATATATTGTATGATATCGCCTCTTTGATCCGCTTTTTGTTTCTTCAACTATTTGTGTAATATTTCGACAATGTGTGCAAATGGCTCGCATCCGGTGTAAAATATTCGAACAACATAATCACATGCTTTCAGTGTTTGAAAACTTTTTTTGTTGTTCTGCTACAGAATAAGTGGCCAATGAAAACTACGAAAAGAATGCAAACATCAGTGGTAAAACCATTCGATTGATGTGCATTGTGAGCATTTTTGTGATGTTTGAAGCTGCTTGCAAACAATTCTAATGATCGCAACGAGAACGAGTGTGAGTATCCTATGGAAACGTGCAGTCAGTGTATGTGTGATGGTCATTCGGCTGTGTATTTTCCCAAGCAAATACGCTCAGGGAGTATGCTCTTGTGCGCATTCAAACAATCAGATTGTCATTTTTATTGTCCGTATGTATGTTTGTGTATGTGCCTGTGCATTGTTTGAAGACGTAAATTTTGCTCCGTGTCACATTTTTCCCAAAGCTCCAGCGATGCCATTCCGTTTGCTCTATATTTGTGTTGGGATTTTTCTCGCTCTTTCTCAGCTACCCAATTCCGAAGATATTTACCGAACGATAAAGCTCACATGTGACATATTCTTCATGTCTTCGTAGTATTTGCCAACTAAGCTGTTTGCGAACGAAAATTAATTGGATCTTAAATCACCGCGTGCTTACGCGATATGTCGTATCATCCAATGGAAAAAAAGACAAACGGCAATGATAAAAAGCTTTTTATTTCTGTGCTGAAAAAAAAAATCGTCGATTGATCGGTAGCATGGTTCCACTTCTGATGCATGGCGCATTGTAATAACATAATTTAAACGGCAGAGTAAAAACGCATCATCTCAATAAACGAGAATCCAAAAATTGGAATTGCAATAATAAAATTCTTTCCACCTCATAAATTGTGTGCGATAAATGTGCTTTCAGCCAAACATAAATATTCGATAAAAAGAATTTATCATCGATTTTGACAGTGCACTGTGCACACTGCAAAGGCACAAACACACACGTGCGCAAGAATCTTCCGAGAAAAAAATATTTGCATATGCAACAAAACTATTTCGCTTAAAAATCCTTTTCGAAAGCAAACAGAGAGAGAGAGAGAGTTACGAGCAATTGATTTGTTTGTGTGCAAGAGTTTAGCGATTGCGATGGAAAAACTTATCGCTAGAAACGAAATTTTAGTAAACATGTTTGTACTTTTGCCGATATGCAGATCCGTCCGCCATAAGTGATATTAGATTGTACATTTTTCATCGTAAAAATAACTTTTGCCAAAGATAAACTCAATCAATAAGTTTAGAAACGTTGGAGCGCTTACGAGTTGTGTGCGTGTGTAAATGTGAACTCAAGTAGATTTCGGCTGCATGCTTCAAACAAATTCGTCTGGCTTGTAGTTTAATCTTTATGTTGAATTTTGAAGAGAACGTCACAAGTTGGGCAAAGAGGAAAAAAACTGACGTTAACTTTGAAACAGCATCGACGTCGAGATCAACATCGAGCACAAACGGCAGAGAGAAAAAGTTAAAATGTACAGTCGTTTCGAATGAATCAATTTGCATGTCGTATTGAACAAGTGATGCGATTACGATGATCATGGCATTCAGCATCAATAAAGTCATATATTTCTCAAACATGGGCCATATTCGATTTTTCAATCCTTTGGTCGCTATACTCGACGATGAAAACAAAATACACGTTATCTCAATGTCTTTTGGTTGAATCGATTGTTCCTATTTTTCATCGTCGCACATACATACGCTGCGAATGGATGTACGCTTTTTTTCGGGTTGCTCGCATTCGATTGCGACATCATCTGATGAGGAATGGCTCATGCCGTATGGGTATTGTAAATTTTATTGTACGCCATATATTCGTTTTTTTGTCTTGTTCTTCTTCACGCCTGTCCATGTCAACTTCTCTTCATCGCAATTTGCATAAGCCATTTCCTTTTGTGCGAATGAGGAAAAAAAAGGCAAACAATAAGTGCACACAAGTCAGACACAAGCGAACACATGCAAATACATGAATCTCGAATCTCGTCCCCAGATATATAAACTTCCGAACGGAGAGTCAAAGACTTTTTGGTGCAAAATAAATTTTGAATAATTTTTTTTATCGTTTCGATACGTTGTCGTTGTCGACGAGCGACAGAGTGGGAAATAGAAAACTTTACCACGAATTCTATTACATGTCCTCATTTCAATTCAAATGTTCCAATAAATTTGTTTATCATGATTTGTTCTACATTTTGTCGATAGCTTGATATGGCTCTTGTCTTGTTAGTATAAAAATTTGTTCGCCTCTGATTGAGTGTGTGTGTGTGTGTGTGTGTGTGTGTGTGTGTGTGAGTGTATATATTATTGTGCACACAAGCTGTCTGTGTGTGCGTGTGCGCGCGTGTGGGTATGGCAAAAATGGTCGCAAACAATGGAAAATATTCAGACAATTTATCATCGAAAGTCAATAAATAACGACGACGTAAAAAGTATCTGTGGAACAATGTTGGTGCCTGTGTGTGTTTGTGTGCTGACGCTGGGTGTTCGATTGTCATTACTCGACACACCGCGACCAAAAATGCGTGAAAGTTTTTAAGCACCGGAATTTAAAGTCTGCTATGTCACCGTAGGTGATGTCTGGAAAATGGAGCGCGCCATAGTGACAGTATTTGGCGTTGGTTGTTTGCTCGTTCGTTCTTGTTTGACACCAAATAAAATTTCATGATTTACTTTTATGAGTTTCGCCATTCGTCTTCCTTGTTTTGGCTGACTGTGTTTGTTTAGCGCCTGCAGCCAAACAAACAGACAAAAGTGGAGCAATAGAGCAACAGCAACAGCAGCCATAGCCGCAGCCGCAGCTAGTTTGCGTTCCTATTGATATTCGTTGCACACATGTTTGTGCAAGTTGCATTTGGTTACGGTCGAGCAAATGGCACGAAGTCATTGTAATTGGTTCTTCCTTCTTCTTGTTTTGGAAACTTCATAAAGTTTGGATGGCATAAGTAATGTATGGAGGAGCTCACAAGCTATGGAAATTGCATATTTCAATTCTCATAAATACACGGCACAAGGAACTTTTTTTATGGTAATGCAATTCGAGGGGTGTATGTGTGACTGTATGTATGTGACGGGTGGAAATCGTTAGTTTGCACATACATTCTTTTTTTCCGTTTGCTTCGTCTTCTGGACGTTTGTGTCTATTGTGAGAGCACACGTTTGCTTGCGAACAACCCATGCGATTTCGATCATTTTCGCACGTTGCACCATTCAATCGTGTATTTTGGGTTCGTTGTGTTTGGTTTTTCAGAGAATCTTGGTAGTTCTTTTGCAAACTCTTCACTTTGCTCCAACATTTTCCAATATATTTCTTTTGGCTGCGTGCACTGAGAGAGCGCTTGTTTCAAACGAATAAAATGAAAATCAACGTAATTTTATTTCCTTTTTCTGAAGAAAAGTTAGTGTTTTTTTCCTGCTTCTTCTTTTGCCGCTGTTACATTTGCTGCTCATTTTTCATTCTCCTCTCTCTCACTCACGTAGTCTTATCCACATGAGAATCAAGATTTATATTTGCTTTGCATGTTCGTACATAACGATGCCAAAATGCATTCCGAAAACAGAAATTCCTACAGCTTGTGTGTGTATGTGTGTTTGCCGCCGCGTGCACTTCATACATACACACACCGACTGCACAGGACGCATTATGCTTACGACATACGTATGCAAATTTCAATTCGCATTACCAGTCGATATTGCACGTATGCTTATGCTTTAAGTCAGTGAAAATATGCACCACTTCCATATAAACCTACGATTCAAAAGGAATACAAGGGAAAAAAAGAGCGAAACAACAAAATGTGCAAAATGTATTTGTTCTGTTTGCTCAATCTGCATTTTCACTTTGCTCCTTTGCTACTACTACACGGGAAGGAAAACTTCACGAATTTGGCGAATCTCAACGGTATCACCATTTATTTGCATCCATGCTTTAAGTCTTTTTAGACAGCATGGACAACATGACATGTTTATTTTCCGTTAACAAGATTATCTCCGTAATATATATAGCTCGACTGGATTTATATCACAAAACTTTGGCGAGAAGAAAACTTCAAATATGAGTGTTGCATTTTGCATGCACTCGCATAAATAGGTCGGTCGATGGCAAAATGAAAACGATTTTCTGAACAATAAACAATTTCGCAATGATTTTTCAAGTAATCCCATCGTGTGCTGTAATTAAATCTTCGGATTTGATTGAGTAGTTTGAATTACAGATGAAGCTTCATTTTGATCGAATGCTCATTTTCTCCATGGATTTCATGCCACGAGTATTTAGTGTAAAAGCATTCTCTTAGATAATATAATGTAAACGATAATGAATACAAAATTAAATAATGCCATTCCTGGTATTATTCTAGTCTCTATTTGCTTCTATACGAATACTATAACCCAGATTCCAATGACTCTAATTCAATTTGCTTAGAATCAATCTCGATGGGTTGCTTCACTTCACGAACTACGAATGTTTTATCTCAATTAACAATGTTACAAATTTCAATTTACAATACATATATTTAGCAACAAGCATTTTTAGCATCCTCGATATCAATGTTCTGTTTGTTAAAACAATCAACTACAAATTATATTTGGCTGATTACAGAACATTTGGCAAGAGTTTTCGAATAGTTCCACTTATATGTTAAATAAAATGGCAAAGTTACATCGTCATAAAATGAAATCAAGAGCCCTCCGAACATGTTGTGTGCAATTTCATTTGAA